GGCTTAGCTTCTGATGATGGGTTTATCCTTTTTGGGGTTGAATATGTATTAAGAATGATTACACTATTCTATCGCTGTACTTTATTCTTTTGTATTACCTGAATGGATATAGCTTTAACTCTATCGTGACCTTGTTAATAATCTAGAAAGAAATTTTGAAAGTGGAACTCAATTGACTATCATTTAACATTTTATTCAATCAAGACAAGTTGAATGTTAAACTCAATTGACTATGAATTAAAAGTGTTGTAACAAATCATGCTGTACAGTATATGGAACTGTTATTGATACTATTATTAGTATTATTGTTGCTGTTGTTATTGCTTGTGACCTATGTATATTATTATCAGTACTATTAATATCCATATGACAGCATGTAAAACTACGTTTTTCTAAATTAAACACTGAATTAATCAAATACATTTCTCCAACTCCAAAACCATTATCAGGTGTGAAGCCACGCTAAGACAGGGCCAGCCGAAGGCCGCCAAAATCGCTAGTCATTAAACATAGTTCAAGTATCTGTTAAGAATCTTGAAGGGGAGGTTTACCAATTTCATATAATTTGAGTACTGATTTTGCATACTCAGTTACATAATATCCAATTTTTGAAATCACGAATATCGTGCATGTTCGTTACGTAGACACTCTCAACTAGATTTTTGATGACGTCGCAGGTGCGTCGCTCCTTCCCGGTTTAGCGACAGGCCATTGTAATGCGCAGGTTTACGATTTAGGATAAACTTCTCCTTTAAAACCATCACACATTGTTAGCAATAACATTTTCCATATTCCTATCAAACTCCAGCTATTATGATGCAATATGCCTCTCGCATTACGAATGATAGTGCTATCCTAACACAGCAAACAAAAAACGTTATTTACAACATTTGCGAACGTTGTGAACTAACACGACGTTGCAGCAAGTTTACCAAAGTTATCTAGTCAGAAATTACCTTATTTATATTTTTATTTATCTCCTTCAACAATCTGTGTAGAGGGTGTCACTTCCAGCTAGGCCGATGTTCAGTAAAATTAGAAACATTACGGTACATTATTTAAAATAGAAATAAAAAACAAGCAATCAATAATATCATAAGACTATTAGTTATATATAACAAGTTGAAAGGATTCAATTCGTATTTCCAATCATTAAAGTTATTAATCATCATTATAGTGGAAGGAAAATCACGAGGTTTATTAACAGATTATGTTTGACGACAAGTGGATTTAAAAATGCTTTAAAATTCCTGTAAATGATATGAAAATTATTCGTACTATTCTCCATTAATACACTATTAATAAAAGTTTTTCTATTTTTATTCCCAATCTAGGCCTATATTTAAAACGTCAATCACATCCTGACCTCTGCGTACGTTGCGTAAGCGTCGTACGCCTTCGCCATCCGCTGGAAGTACTGCAAAAGTTACTTCAATATACAGCAGTGATAAAGGCAGTTAATAAACCGATTAATTAAGATATCAGTTGTCGTGGAAGGGTGTGTTGTTTTTGTTGTTTTGCTCTTGAGTGGTTTAATTCAGTGGTTTATACGATTAACTGTTAATTCCCATTAACACTAGTTGGATATCAGTTAATAGCCGCATGATCGAATTAGGGGCGAACTATTGTGTTGTCTGGAAAAATCTCACTAGCCATGAATATGGCCCCGCATCTTCATTATTTGTAAATATCGTTACTAATTCAACCTTAGTTTGCACATTCCCACTTTAGCCTTGTTTGGTGGGGGGATGTTATATTACTTATAGGGGGTGGGGCCCGGGAAAATGTGTTTCCTAGATGCTAGTGGATAATTCACTTCTTGTATTCTCAGGGGTACGTATTAAAGACTTTATGTTTGTTCAAATATCAGAGATCTTGTGTGAGTATGGAAAAAAGATGGTGATCCTGACGGTTGAACTTATGCTGATATGTGGTAACAGTTTATAAAACTAATGCAATCGAGTCAGCTCATCATGATATAGAGCTAGATCAGAAAGGTTTTGTAGTAGGGTTGCAGAGAGCGGAGGCCTGGGCATGGAATATAAAGCTTACGCATTTCCAATTTCCATATTTCTATTGGCCAGTGATCCGATCATCATCTTCTTGGTATTTGGATCGGGGCTTTTCTTGTATGAACACACGGGTGAGCTCGTGTGTTTGTACTCCGGATCCTGCTAACCGTTAGCTGCCGTGTGTGAACATAGTCTCATTTATCCAAGGTTTATGCAGCGCATAGACGCCTTTAAACATACACATGTTCACTGGTTGTTAGAATTGTATGAAATCACGACAGAACCTCTTTAATGTTGTAACATGAATGTAATTTAAAGAGACTAGACGCATTTACATAAATCGTAACATTTATATGAGTTTATATGACGCATTACGTAGAATAAACATACGTGCATGAATAAAACAAGAGAATCGTCGTTTAGAAGTTCAAAAACCTTCATCATTATTTACATCTCAGAAAATAATCTTAGATTTAATTATTAACCATGTGATATTCCACATAAGCCAGTCGATCGTTAAACGGTTATTTAAATAAAACTGACTGTGATAACATTACATTAATGTCTATAGCTATGTTAAATACAGTCTTCCATTCCTCCGGGGATTGATATCATCGAATGTTTTGGTGTTTCAATGACGTGGATGTAATCAAGTGGGGATTAGTTTTGTTAATCGTAGGCTTAAGTGATATATCACATAAAATACATGAGAGGTTCATATACAGAGAGCAATACAAAATTAATTTTAGAGAATCTAGAATGCAATCACAATTTACTTTTGTGGATAATTAAAATGTATTATAAGAATAAGTGATGCAATTGAAAATAATTTTGAAGGTAAATGATAAACGGCAATATTCATGAAAATAATATAATAATAAAAAAAATCAACAATACCAGTAAGAAAGACAACAAAAATAATAATAATCATAATAATAATAATAATCATAATCATCATCATATTTTCATAATCACCCACTGTGTTGTATGTGTATGTTTCCTCACCATAAAAAGTAAGATTAGCTGAAGCACCCATCGACAGGCGCAGTTTATCTTGCAGTTGATGACCGTTCAGAAAAAAATTGCTTACCTAAAAAATAAATTTCAAAGATAATATTATAAATCACATAAAGTGTCAGTTAATTACGTAGATTTAACACGCAATTTATACATAAACAGTAATATATCATATTAAGTTTCCGGTATCACTTACAAAATAGCAAATCCCAGGTGGATATCGAGTTGCATTCTGTTCTATATTGTCCGAGATTCAATCAATGTCGTATGCCTCCTTCCTTGTCCTAAAAAGTAGATCGCTAAAACTTTACATTTTTCATGACCGATGACGTTTAACATTATTTACTTCGGCCGAGAAGTTCATGTATTTATCGTTGTTAGGCTAAGTTTGTCTTTTTTGTTAAGATCACGCAAAAGCTAAACCATCGATCATTATGGAAATGATTTAATTTTCGAAATAAAAGGTCAACAAAAGTAGGTTAAGGTCACATGAATTCGGATTTTTAAAAAAAATTGAGATTTACCCCTCGCGAGCATATCAAATAATGGAATCGCCCGTCTCGCCCATAAACGAACTGCGTATATTCAGGCACACGGCAGATTTGTGAGTGCTGCTATAGTTTAACAGTGTATCAAATCATAGCAAGTTCGCATTACATTTCTGATTTTTTTTTTTTTTTTTTGGCTAATTTCATAATATACAATTTGAATATTTTTAATTAATCATACTTAATACGTAGGCCTAAATCGTTACATACCAGTCACATAAGATGAGAGGGAGACCTCGTAATACATGAATGTGAGCTCACTGAAATGATTGTCACGTCGAATTGTCACTTAATATTGTGTTTGGGGTGGTGTAAACTTACACATGTACATAACTTGATAACAGCTGCACATAAATTGAATATCTAGTTACGAAGATGATACTTGTTTTAAGATGCCTTATATTGCCTCTTACACAATTATAATACTAATAATGCATAATATTCTTTTTCTTTGTTTGCCAAACAAAAACACAATTATAACAGTTATACAATCAACTACTGAGCTGAATATGCCTACTACAGTATAATAACTTATACTTACTTTAAAAATCAATGATGTATTACTGTGCTTGACAAACTTAAAACATATGTGAAATTTGCAATACCAAACTTGATAGTAAGTAGGGCTGTGTTCAGGAATTGGGTGTGTGTACTTAATACATACACTAAACTGTCCTACGACCAGCCATAACCTCTAGAAGTTGCATTTGAGAACAGGCTCAGAAACAACCTCTGAAACATCAAAGTAACCCCATTATCAGCCTGCTTGTTCTCGATTGCGGAGCCATTATTATAGCTAAAACTTATACCAACCCAAAAATAGGCCTACATCGTACTTATAGTTTAATCATTATTTTCAGAATAGAAATATAAATAAAGTATTAGGGGTGTTTTGAATGACGCGCACGCTAAGTAAAGCCGGCCACTCCGACACTGCGTCGTACGATGAATCCCACTCCGCTCCCTGTGAGCGATACACGACGCGACACCGTCTGCTGCTTGTCGTTGGCAGCTGAGTCTGAACGGGTCGTCATTGAAAACGATCCGTCAGTAAAAAAAAACGATGCGTTACGCGCGCGTCGTGGCGTTGCGTTCCCTACATAGGATCGCGTCGGCCGACGACCGTCTCAGGCGCAGTGAGTACGCGGTTTTAAATTGCCCTTTTGTATAAGTAGGCCACAGTAATACAAAGTTGGCTAAATATTATCATTCTGTGGTTTAATTTAAACATGTTCTCGCGAACGAGTAGTATAGCGAACAGTAGTTATGTAAAGTACCGGTATGGCTTATTTAGTTGAAATGATTGGATGATTGTTTAAATGAATGATTGATTAATTGACCGCTCGTCGTAAGATACCCTCTTTAAAGTTCACATATACCTAAGGCATATCTTAACAATTTGAAATCTTTACTTGCTCCTCAGGAAGCAATGATTAACGTCCGGCGAGCAGAAAGCGCTCGATTTCTAGCAAAATTGGTAAGTATATTATATTTTTTATTATACTACGCACTCGGCAGCATTATGCCATTAAGACGTATAGCGAAATTGTTAGTTTAACGATATCTATACGATGGTCTATAGTTACCTATGACTTCTTAGCTATATAGCCGTGACATTTTTGTTAATTGCAGTGACGGTACTAAAATTTTGCATTGACTTTTTCAATGTTGCCTCTAGATTTTAATATTTGCAACTGAAAAAGTATCATTCTAATATCCACATCCTCTATGTCATAATATACGCGCACATTTACTTATAAACATAAAAACATATTTACATTTCAAGTAACCATAGGGACTTGGTAAGCGTACACCGAGATGTTTTTAATCTGTCACTTGAACAAGCAATTATATTTTGATGGGACGAGTTTAGTGACAGTTTATTAACCGTCTCATCCTTTAACTTCCGAATCAATCAGGCGAAAGACAGGTAATGTCTGACAACGTGACGTCACAAGATGTCTGCGTGCCCTTGCGCTTACGTTCTAAAAGAAAGTGTAGAGCTTGTAATACGAAAATTAGGCCTTTATTATTACTGCCATATGGAGTATAATTATAATAGATGAAGTCGTTGTTATTAATGATTATTTTTAATGTTACTGATGTTGATATCCTATATGAATAATATAAGTTCGTGATTTATTAATTTGTACTAGAAACCTGACTTCTACTCCACGTGCCTAGCATTCCGAATGGAAACGTTGCACTTTTTTGTACTTTCTGCAATAATAATTAAGTACAACACTTGTTTTGTCGGAAACATTGATTGATAAAAATTCCGTATTGTAGTTCAATGAAAATGAAATGCGCCACTTAAAGTAGTTGATGAGTAAAAAAACCGCACTAGATAGTAATAAAAACAATCAAAATGAAAATAGGATTCGAATCAAGGGTTTCCCCCTAAAAATCAAAATGATATACAAAGTTAAATATCTCTGACATTATGTCTTGTTTTCTTACTTTGATGTTACTATCACCGACAGTTTGCTGTGACTTGGGATTTATTAATTAATTAACGATTCGCAGACTCTTCTGACCGTATGAAAATGCGTATTAGTGGTTACGGTATTATTTAATGAATACTTCGACAATAGGTGGCGTGCTACTTCATCACCAAATCCATGAACATGCAAGAGTTACTATAAAGTTGGTTAAAATTGATAAAATCTAGACATTTAAAAATGAGCTGTGGCTTGGTGTCTAATATGTTTGCCTTCCAATTCTAGGGTTCTGGATTCAATTCCAATGTTACAGAATTTTTTTAAGCGTAGCAACAACTCTAGAAAGTCGCAGTGGACGGTCAATGGTCACTGTTGCTGGACACTTTCATGGACAATAAAAAAAAAATTTTAAAAAACTAAATCAGAACAATTTTTTAAATATAAAAGAACTTTATAGGGAAAAAGAAATAAGGAAATGTGAAAATAAAATGGAGACTGGATGAAAAGTAGGTATTATCAAATAAGAATGATTTAAGTATTTGCCTAAAAAAGTATACCTATACAAGTGCGTGAATAAAATGTCAACAATGCGTTGAAAAAAGAAAAGTCGCGAATCTAACGTGAATTACACGCCGTCAGCGCGCTTACAAGTTGATGATAGAGTTGAGCTGTGTGGGTCAATGTGGTCATAGTGGTGAAATCAGTGTGAACTTTCAAGCCAAGAAAAGATAGATAATGTGGTATTAATTGCCCGATTAAGCCATGGCAGCTGAGAGGCTTTCCATAATTGAATTTGGAAAGCAGTGAAATTCTGAAGTACTATAACTCGGGAAAACAATAACATATATTTCAATATTATGAAATAATCCCAAGCTATTGCTTGGCGATCAATCACGTGTAACGCTGTTCTCCATAAATAAAGCATTTGCTGAAAGCTTCTTCAATGGAATATCCAGTCTCACGTAGTAGCATCCAATAAGCGTTTGCATGAATTCCCACTTGTAGTGAAATATTTTTTTTGGAAGTAAAATTTACGTTAGGCCTACTTTTAAAGGACATCCTAAAGTAGATACTAACCTACCAACATGGTGGTATCTACAAAAGAACAAATTATAGATCAATTCTACTTTCTGTTCTCATTATAACGAATTAATGGAGAAACGAGTAAACTTGTAAATTGTAATTCTGTATCAGTTTAGAGACGAGTGTATTACTAAAACTAGCAAAGTGGTTTATACTTGAGCGCGGATGACGCTCAGAATGGTTACACCACTCTCGTTTTAATATGTTGTCATATTGCCGTGCTGCTATTGAACGACTTAATATCTATATTTCTTAATGCATTTCATGTAATATTGAAGGTTTTTATTGCATATCCGCACTGACGATAACCAATTAACTGATTATATATACACTAATTATACAGAATAGCTAAGCAAGAGCCAGTAAGTCGACAATTCAAATGCAGGAGATTACAGTTGTACGGGCATTTGAAAAAAGATCACCTGAAAAATACAAGTTCTCTCGAAGCTAGAGATAAAGTAATGTGAACGGAAAGTAAAAAACCCAAGAAGTAAACTAAAATTTACGTGAATGATTAAACTTTTAAAAAAATGAACCCAAAGGTTACGTTCATGCTCTAATAACTATACTAGTAATAATATATTATTTAATAATACGTATTTTCTTCAAACATAAACATCGCCATATTGCTCAAGAGGGAAATAAATAGAACGCAAAGAGCATATTGCAAAGTGTTATGTCACAATACGAACGGTGTTAAAGAGACTCATAGATAGTGTTTAGGTCCCTGAGGTTATATAATATTTAGGCCTAGCTATAGATATTGGAGAAAATTAAATTAAATTTAGAATTAGTTTCATAATTGTGGATATAACGGTAATAGTACCGTACACAGTCAATTTATACGAAAGTACAATATAATACTATACAATTAACATGAATGTTCACATTTGACCTTATTTCCGTTTATTTGCATCATTTACCCCATTCCAATATTGGTCGGCCTACTAATAATTTATGTCAGTACTTGAACTAGGAGATGGTAAGCCTCATTAGTTAAAACTACCGCCCCGATAAACTCTGTAAAGCTGAAGATTTTCTGGTTCCAACTTTCAATTTAAAGTCAATAAATTAGCTCAATTAATATACGAAATAATCAATTTAACTATTGGATTCATTATTATATTTTCATCAGCACAGACAGTTATTATGTTTAAATTAAGAATACCAAAATGTGAATATAATTATTTTAGATAACCTTCATCAAAGCTGGTTTCGTTTTTCAACAGTGACGTCATACACGTGCAGCATTGTCGCGGTGGTTACATTCAGTCGCAGGATGGTTAGATCTTTCAAATTCAACGAGCATTAAAGAATCCAAGCATTGAGATAATTGTGATGTCATTTTGTGAAAAAATCTCCTAAATCGGATAATGTCTTGATACTGCAGATTTCCTACACCCCCATATACACACACACACATATGTATTTGTACAAATTTAATAAGATAATATATAAATGCATGTCTATTTTACCTTTTGTCATTTTTGTTGCAGTTAAAAGAATATGCCGAGAAAATGATGTACGATAATGAGGGAGATTATATACAGACAAACATCTCTGGCGACGTAACGAATGACGAATATCATTCAGGTGTTAATCCACGGTGGTACGAAGGGTAACCGAGGTGTGGCGGGTGGTTATAGGTGGCAGATGGTAAAGACAATTTCAACTTCGACCCTACTGGGCTTAGCACCTTGAATACTCAAGGATTCGATTTGATTGTCCACCACATTCCGTTGACATCATTTACGTTGTTTTTTCTTGGATTAAAAACATTCTTTGGAAAACCATTATGTTTGTGTGAAACAAAATGCAGTTGTTGTAATGGCAGTGTGGCTGAAAGCTGAAGTGCCTTTATTGCATGAAGAAAATGAGAATAATCTTACCAACACGTTTGTGGATTTCTTGATCTCGATTGATTGATCATCCGTGATGTATTTTTGGAATTTATTAAGGAAATTTGTTTCGGTATCACAAATGGATATCTATATTTTATCTATCAATTACCTGCCTATTATTTGTCCTGTAATATTTTTTTATTCAACTTTTCTGATAATTGTTTGTAAAAGATTCTACACACATGTTGCGATTTGCGGTAATGCTATAATTATTTATTTAAGAATGAACGTTTAAGAAGAGGACTCTAGAAGTGCGAAAACAAGGGTTTTGTTTGGAATTTCAATCCAATCGGAAGCAACTAATTGTTACACTTATATAAATATATATATAATACATATAAAGCCAATATATATGTATATATATAATATAAATATATATATATATATATGTGTGTGTATATATATAGATATACATAATACATGAAGAAGGCGTGTCCACGTGTGTTTCGAAACATATGTAGAATATAATATAACGTAACAGTAAAGAAACTCAAATACGTAAAATGTTGACTTTAGAAACACTAAAATTTATTAGGCGAATATTTCGGCTACTCCTGTAGTCCTGTCTCTTATACACATCTAGATGTGTATAAGAGACAGATATATATATATATATAATTATTAAATAGCTGCTTTTGCATAATATTAATAATACTGCCCTGGCAGTATCACGCAGCAGTGCCATGTGACTCTAATACATTTTTCGTTTTTAACGTCCGTCGCCCTGTAGGGATAAACGGATAAATGTCCGTATAAAGTTTTCTTAATTGACGTCAACATTGAAAAGACACCATCATTATAATGTAAGTTAAACTAAGAATGTCTTGTGCTGATTCCATCCATTTAAAAGAGTGAATCGCATGTGACTGTAACCAAAACGAATAAATTTTTGGCCAGAAATTGTTTCAATTTTGGAATTATTGGAAGCAATATTATTCAAATGTAGAATTTAAGGAAAACGTTGTTGATAAGAAGATCTAGCATTCAGCTGTAATAGCGCCCCCATACTGAAATAATTTATTTTTGGGATATCTATCGACCTTTTGCTTTTTTTCTGCCTTAAATAATAGCCAAAGTAATCACCGGGTTTGAAAGGTACCTGGGATTGACATGCGTATTTTATGTTTTATTAAATCGATGTTTAATAGTTATAAGGAAGATTACGTAAAGATTTTCTCCACATAAAAGGATGACGTAGAAGCATGCTATTAATAGGCCAGACCCTTTTAGATGCAGTGTCAATTTGTACAAAAATATTACTTAAGATAACAGATACAAAGTGGGTTATTCCATTTAATGTCATTCATATACTTTATTCATGCTGTTCGTCATCTTATTGTACGGGATTAGGGAAGTTTTCTAACCTTACGGAAACAATACACTACCAAAAACGATTACGTCACCAATTATGCAAGTTTTGAGCCGATCCATAATCATATCTGTCACAAAATTACTGCTGTTGCTTACGAGAATCATCGCTCATCTTCGTCAACTTAAATCGGATGTCTTTGTATATATCAGCTTTAGATTCAGGCCGAGAAAGTGTATGATCGGGATATTATCGTAATGTAGTTAGATTATGGGAATTGTCAAGGAGTCAGATTCCTACAAGTAACAGGCCAGATCTGTAGTGCGCCCTTAATGGACTTTTCCGGACCAATTAGAACAGGGTCAGGGATATGCATACACAAAAGCACGTGTTTGAATTGCGTACGTTGACGTTGTCGATTTGTGGAACCTTAGTAACAATGTCAAAGGGCCAAGTTTAGTCGGAAACATCCATTCGTGTACACCATGTGCAAAACACATTTCAAATGATGTATTCGTTGTTTTTATAGTTTTCGTAAGATTGAAAAACATTCCTAATGACATTTTTTGGTAACGAGGATGGACGGTTTGCCGCTTAATCAACAATCACATCATTGTCGCTACTGTTGACCAATCATAGCAACGTTGCTATGAAAGCTTAGTGACTAATCAGTAATGTCGTTATTATGAATACCTAAACATGGTTGTGTGCAACGAGTGTCGACATGTTCCCATAAATAAAATTTGAAATCTCTGTTAGTGTCGATTGTTGTCATTTCTTATTATCTTTTTGAAGAGTTAACCTGTGCTATTAGATTACTTATTTTCTACATGTGCAATGCATGAACAGACTGGCGTAATTATAATTAGTACGGTAATGTATGTGCCTATATTTATAAAAGTAATATAATAATAGTACCGTAATATTCATAAATATAATAATAGGCCTAAAAAGAATAAGAATAATGAGAGTGGTATTGATCATGACAATGATATTAATATTGTTAATGTTAATAATAATACTGATAATAATAATTATTATTATTATTGTTGTTGTTGTTGTTGTTGTTGTTGTTGTTGTTGTTATTATTATTATTATTATAATCGATGTTCACGAAGAGTTCCGGCATAGCGCTGATGGTAATAATAACGACAATAATAATGATGATAATGATGATAATATTAACGATAATTATACTACAATGATGATGACAATGATATTGATGATAATAATGTTAATAATAAGCAAAAATAATAATAGGCCTAAATACAAATAAATATATCTTGGACTCAGTCATGCAGCGTCATGGTTTCAATCAAGACTCAAATGAGTAAAGAAAGTAAGAATTATATAATGTTCATCATTTATTTGTGTGTAGAATGTTGGGTGGGGTGGTGGGTTGAATGACATGACAACCTTTTAATTCTACTAACGAGTTTCAATAAAGAACGTCCCAAATAGGCATGAACAAAATACAAACATTTAATACTGGCGCAAACATAGATTACATCAGTACATGATACAAAAAAACTAAGCATCATTAAACCTAAAGGCCAACTCAGACAGCGTCGGCCGACGCAGCCCGACCCGATTTATCGTCGGGGACAGTCTTAAGCCGTCGTGAGAAATATTACACATGTTTAATATTCTACGACGCGACTGCCACCGACGTACACCATCGCGTCTGCGTTTAACTCACACAGGCCCAACGCGACAACAAATCGCGTCGGGCTGCGTCGTACGACGCTGTCTGAGTTGGCCTTAAGAGCAGTGAGAAGAATATCGAAATCATTTGAACCAAAAGGTTGATAGGCCTACTACTACTATTGATTTGCAAATTTACTTGTAAACATTAAATGACACTACATGCAAGCATAATATCTTCTTGAAGAGCCGTTTTACCAGGGCAGTATTATTAATATTATGCAAAAGCAGCTATTTAATAATTATATATATATATATATCTGTCTCTTATACACATCTAGATGTGTATAAGAGACAGATCCATGCAAGCAGGCATATACAGAGATCTTGTTCTCTCTATCCAGACAATTGGTGGCGCTATACCTTTTTGTTAAAGGAGTTTTTCTGAAATTTAACCATCCCCTACCCACAACACCCACCACCCATAAAAAAAGCAATAGCAAATCTTTCGAAAAAATGACGGATGAGAGATGTTGATTATGGTCAGTCGATCAATATCCGTTCATTGTATCTTTTACAAGTTGATAAGCAAAACGTGGGCGAGAGTATATTTTCTAGCGCAAAAGCAGCTATTGTGCAGCGCTACACGCGTAAGTATTTGCGTATAGAGTGGGTGGATACATATAATAATATCGATATCGTATGGAGTAACTTCCTATTGAAATTGGTCTGTTCTAACAACTAAGCTACACATATTCAGTACCGATGGTCGATAACCGGAGCAAACGTGCATTATTATTAAAGCTTGGTAAACGAGAGTATTAAAATCATCCCCACAAATTTACATTACCAGGATTGGATTTCACAAAAAAATATTTCTTTCGAACAGAAACAACACCTTGGTATTGTAAACTCTAGCTATCTAGAGTAATGTTTGGATTTTTAAGATGAAACTCTCAGTGTGACACAACCAAACCAATATAAATTAGTGGCGGCAACAGATTCAGAACATCGAATGTGAACAAGTTTATTCGACAAATTCAAGTTAGATGATTGCAAGGAAAGAACGTGTCACCAATACGCTTATTGTAGATTTTTTAGGATCCTGGGTGGATATAAAAAATACAGGATTTGTCTCTGTTCTTGAAATGCTTTATACAATTCATCCTGCTTACGTACGTCTGCCTCTGTCTCAGTCGCATCAGCGAATTATTGTTTGATTTGTTTTCTGTAAAAACCAAATCCTTCGGGGTTTATTTGTTTTTTTTCTCACACACAATTGTATGTTATTTTTACTACGACTTCATTGATTCCTATGGTCATGCATGCCAGTGGTAAATCCAGGAATGCAAAATAGAGGGCGTCCGAGAGCGCGTCAATTTTACACTCAGATGGAGGGTCCACCTCAGCCCCATCATTTTACGGGCCATATGTCTATGACACTTTTAGATGACACTTCTAGACTAAAAATTTAAATGCAATTTTTGTTTTTTAATTGTGAAAAATCTGAGGGTGGGGGAAGACCCGGGCCGGCTGCACTCCCCCACTTGATTCCGCCTATGATGTATGCAATTAGCGAGTACTTTACCGTACAGTAGCCGACCTTTATTATAATACATTAGAACCCCTCCTTTGGGACACCCCTATTCAGGGGACACCTCTATTAAGGGGACACTTTTCCGTGAAACGAGGGGTGATGTATCTTTTAACACTGCGGCCAACCCCTATTAAGGGGACAGGGACACCTTCTGACTGTGCTAAATGGTCAAATATCCCCTATTAAGGGGAAACTTTTTTTTCTATTGTATCACAACAACAAAAAAAAGTCTTAAAATAAGAAAAATTCACTTAACTTTTTATATTGACACATTTAGAGCAACTTATTAAGGAACTTATCACCTTTCTAACTATTATCACATTTCTACTCCTGTTTGTCAATGGCGAGAATAATAATAATAATAATAATAATAATAAATAATAATAATAATAATAATAATAATAATAATAATAATAATAATAATAATAATAATAATAATAATAATAATAATAATAATAATAATAATAATAATAATAATAATAAATAATAATAATAATATTTTAACTGAAACTGCAAAAAGAATTTTAAAACAAGTAAAATAATACTGGTACTGGTGCTGGTATGGGCATTTATAATGCGCCTCTTCTAGCCTTGCGGTTATAAAGCGCAGTTTCTTTCCCTGGTCATTGGGTCCACATGTTTGGTAGTAGTTTGGTGTGTTTAAGTATTTTCATGGTTTGTTTTTTTTTTGCTTGTATCTTTTTAAGTGGTGTTCTGTTCTCTCCTTTTATTGATTTGATTGAATTTTGTATTTTGAGAATGTGTCCAATTTCTTCTTGGTTTTTATTTTAATTATTCTAGTATATGTATGAATAACTTACGGTATCCTTTTTAATGAAATATGTTCTATTGTTTTAAAGTTATTGTAGGCTTACTAGTTTACTTCTCTGTTCCGGAGGTTTTCTGAATAAAATTGAAATTGAAATTAATTGAAATGGAAAATTTAATTTTGAAATTTTAATTTTGAGCAATAAACCAGAATTTTTTCCCCCAAACCATTAGAGTGAATATCGGTAAGGCATACTACATGTATACTTCCTATAAACCAATCTTGTCCATTTTGACCCTTAACCATTGGGATTTCTTTTTCTTCGTTTTTCGTGCACTTTTATAGGATTCTTATTCATCTGGAAACAGTATTGCCTGGGAACATATAAAACTACTGTTTTTTAAATTACATTTCTGCTGATTTCATATTATAAATAAATTGTATTTGCCTTGAAAATTATTGCTATAAATTAGTTATAATTCTACTGTAACTAATTATGTAAATAAAAATAAAATTATGAAGAACTGTATGTCATTGTTTTATGAAAACATGCCAAAAACTCCTATTAAGAAGACGATTTCATGTTTTGGTTAGTGTCCCCTGAATAAGGGTACCCTATTCAGGGGACACCCCTATTAAGGGGACACTTTTTTTGGTCCCGAAGGTGTCCCCTTAATAGGGGTTCTACTATATACAGATTTGCTGCGTATGATAACGCCACCGCTGGTGACAGGAATATAAAACTTTTTTTGACGA